GGTTACTGGAATTCCGGAGGCCAACATACATCACTATGATGTTACAATTACTCCTGACGTACCACCTGCCTTAAACAGAAGAGTCTTTAAACGGCTTGAAGAACTTGAACGTAATAATGGTTTGGGTGACGTTAGACCTATCTTCGATGGTAGAAAAAACATTTTCACTGCGAAACCTTTGCCGTTTGGAGAGACCACAACTTTTGATATAAATATCCCAGAAGACGATGGCGTAACGTCAACAAAGCGTCCACCACGTTCTTTCAAGATTAAAATTAAAAAGGTCAACACAATTAATATGGAAGAACTCCGTAGATTTTTAGAGAGTAAATCAGAGTTGACACCAAATTGTCTGACTGGTTAGTTAATATTCAATTATGAATATTTGATTTGTAATCAGTAAATTTTATTATGAAATTATATATATATATATATACTTTTATAATTAATGGATTATAGCTATCATGGCACTTGATGTTTTGGTTCGGCATCATCCATCAATGACGTATACTACTGTCGGAAGATCATTTTATACTCCCGAAGGTTCACAGGCTCTTTTTGGTGGTGTGGAAGTATGGCAGGGGTATTATCAGTCTGTTCGGCCTGCGCCTAATTCAATGATGATAAATATTGATTTAAGCGCCACTGCGTTTTATGAAGGCGGTCCATTGGTTCAAATGATATTGAAGTTGCTTAATAGACGATCCGCTGATGAATTACGTCGTGGAATAAGTGATAGAGATCGTCTTAAACTCGAAAAATCTTTGAAAAAGCTTAAAATTAAAGTTACACATAGAGGTGATACTGTAGCGAAACGTCGGTTTAAAATCCTAAAAATAACAAATACACCTGCTTCTTCAACTAAATTTGACGTTGGTGATGGTCAAACTACTGATGTGGCCTCGTACTTTCAAAAGACATATAACATGCGTCTTAACTATCCGTTTCTTCCATGTGTCGTGATTCGAAAAGAAAATTACCTTCCTATGGAAGTATGTGATGTAATTGAAGTAAGTTAATTAATAAATTTTATCAAATTTCTTATGCATAAACGCGTTAATTATTATGTTAAAGTTGTTTTAAGGACTTTTAACAATTTATTATTATTATTATTATTAAATTTTTTTAAATTTTTTTAAATTTTTTCAGGGTCAACGACATGTTCGTAAACTTAATGAAAGGCAAACTGCCGATATGATTAAATTTACATGTCAGCAACCTCATATGAGAGCAAACAAAATCAAGCGAGGAATTGAAATTCTTAATTATCGTCAAAATCCATACCTTCAGCAATTTGGTATGAAGGTTTCAAGTGAGATGATGGTAGTAAATGCACGCGTTCTACCTATTCCCACTTTACAGTATCATCCATCATCTAGGGAGGCCTCCTTTAATCCCAGGGATGGTCAATGGAATTTAAGAGATAAAAAGGTTGCAACTGGTGCTACTCTTGGTTCATGGGCTGTAATCGCGTTTGGAGGTGAACGTGATATGGGAATGCAAGCCATAAATCATTTTATTAGAGAATTAATCACTACTTGTCAAGATACTGGCATGAATATACCAACTAGAAACCCTCCTATATCGTACGCTAACCCTCATGGTGACATTGAAGCTTCTATTAAACAGGCTTGGGTTCGTGCTGGTAACGCCGCAAAGAATAAACCACAATTGATATTGTGTATATTACCAAACACGGGTGTTGGACTATATGCTGAAATTAAACGTGTTAGTGATACTGTTATTGGGGTGGCAACTCAATGTGTTCAAAGCAAACATATGTTTTCTGCGAAAAAGCAATATTGTGCAAACGTTTGTCTTAAGATGAACGTGAAACTTGGAGGAATGAATTCTTTCATTCTTCCTGCTGAAGTACCATTTATTTCAGACAAACCAACGATTTTAATGGGTGCCGATGTTACACATCCAGGTCCTGGTGATACTACTCGTCCATCCATTGCTGCTCTTTGTGCTTCAATGGATTCCAAGGCATCACGTTATGCTGCCTCTATTAGATATCAAACTGGTCGTCAGGAAATGATTACTGATCTAGCTAGTATGTGCAAAGAGTTATTAAAAACCTTCTATCAAACTTGTGGAAAGAAACCAGAAAGGATTCTATTTTATCGTGATGGTGTTTCTGAAGGTCAATTTTCACAAGTTCTTGAAGAAGAAATCAAAGCGATAAGAGGTATATATTATATTATATTTTTATTATTATTATTAAATTCATCATTTTATCACAAAATCACAATATGCTCATTTAAATTCTTTCAAATTAGCCGCGTGTCGTGGACTCGACGCGGGTTATAAACCCAAAATAACTTTTGTTGTTGTGCAAAAGCGGCATCATGCACGATTCTTCCCGATGGATAGAAAGGAAGCGGATAGAACGGGAAATTGTCAGCCGGGAACTGTCGTTGAGTCGCAAATTACTCATCCATTCGAATTTGACTTTTATTTGCAAAGTCATGCTGGCTCAAGGAACTTCTCGTCCTACGCATTATCATGTTTTATTAGATGAGAATGCATTTACCCCTGATTCACTTCAAACTCTTTCGTATAATCTGTGCTATGTGTTTGCACGATGTACGCGTGCTGTTAGTTTAGTGCCTCCAGTTTATTATGCACACTTGGTGTGCGCTCGGGCTCGCTTCCATTCACGTGGAGAAAATTGGAATGATACTGAAGGTACTTCTGAAGAAAGTACTGGTTCTGCTTTAACGTTTGGCACTGTAAAACCTGAATTGCAAAAAGTTATGTACTTCATGTGAAGAAGTAGGCTGCGACTAAATCCTTTAAAACATTATATAGTTTGGGTTTGGAAATCGGGATTTCTACTTCATTTGAAATGATATCAAAAATATAAATATATATCCATTCTTAGTCAATATAGTATAAAATTCAAAAATCTGCCAATTTGTTATTTTTATTTTAGATTAAAAAATTTTAGGGATTTAGTGATGTGATGATAACAGTCGATCTAATGATCAACGCCTTAAATATTATATATATATTTTTTTCTTCAAATATGTTTTATTATTCATAATTTATGGAATTTATGATTAATAAAATTGATGGCTTAAAATCTGTTATTTTTATTTTCGCGTGTACTAAATCAAGTACAACGCACGCTTGATGTAAATAGTATAATTATTGCTTAATAACAATTATCAAAATTAGTTTTATTTATACGTATATTATACAAATTAGATATTTACTAATTTTTGTATTAGATTTAATATATAAAAATAAATTTGACAATTGAATTGAGCTTAAGACTTACGATATTCATTTTTGTGTACTCTTTTTTTTTTTTTTTTTTTTTTTTTTGGAATATTGGAAGGATTGGAATTGGAAGAATGGAAGTTTCCAATTTCAATAAAACTATTAGAAGCTTCCCATTCATGCAATATATATTGGAATGCTACGTACAGAAAAATTTGTGAAAAAAAGGTTTCAATGTAACATTATCACTTTAACTGGTTTACGATCATTTCTAAATATACACTTTCAAAAAAGTTAACTGTGTAAATTCAGATCATATAGATTTGATTTTACTCTATGATAAACTTTATTTTAAGACATTTAAACCACACTTTGGACAATTTAATATATAATGATGATGTAAAAGTTAAACTTATAAAATATTGTTCCTTTTAAATTAGAAATGTAGCTTGAAGCTATTCAGCTAGACTTTAATATGTAGAGCCAAATGGTTGACTTAGCTTGAATAAAGTAAGCCAAGAACTATGCCAAGTAGCTGTTTTATTTTTATCCAGGACCGACCTAATAAAATAAGTGATGAGGATCAACTTTTAAATGAACCCAAATTTTTTGTGTAAACCGAACTAAATTATAGGGTAAACTTACTTTAGGAATGTCATAATGTTCTGTCATTTCTTCTAATTTTCTATTTAATTCCTAAAAAAAAAAAAAAAAAACAAGTATTAAGCGTAAATTTTGTGTATTATATAATAAGAAATAAAATATTTAGTTACCGCCACACGTTCTTTGTGTGATTTTCGCGCAGCTTTTTCTACTTTCTCATCCAACTTTAAATTATAGATATTATTAAAATTTTTGAACTACAACATTAGATAACTATTATTACAATAAATAAGAATTAAACTTAAAATACCCTCTTTCTTTGAACTTCTTCAAATTTTTTTTCCGCCTCTGTTTTAGTTATAACACGAATCGGTTTATTAGCTTCATCGTCAAGTATTTCCTGCGCTAATTTCTTCAACTTTTCTTCTTTTTCTTTACTTCTTTTCTTTTTTTTTCTTTTGGAATAAAAATTGATTTAAAAAAAGCAATCTTTACAAAATCAAAAAATTGAGGTGAAGTTAAAAATTGTATTTACTTTTTTTCAATCCCTCCTTTAAGTCTTAAAGCACCACCCGGAACATTGTCATATTCAGACATATCGGACGATTAGTTAAAATAGACGCGAGCTCATAAAGTAAAAACGTAAGACTCATATAATAAGCTTGCATATTTATATCAATGATGTAATCAGTTTCTAAATCAGTTTAAACCGTAAAAAGTAAATGTCGTTATCGGTATCGGTATTGTTAACTTTGTGGCCCCACTGGAAAAAAATACCAATGGTTCTTAATCTATTGCTGTATCTGTGTATTGTAAGGGGAACCATTTCTGCCCTCCAATGGTGGTCTGTGATCGAACTAAATCAGATTTAGTCACATAATATTTCAGTCTATGATAGTGTGACGTATTAGGCACAACTTAGTACTAACACTAAGCGTTTATAGAAAAATTAACCATTTTTGCAATATCTGATATGTACGTATTCATATTCCACTACTAAATATTGATAATGAATTTATTGCTTTTTTGATTAGTTATTATCCCTTACACCGTCTTGCAGGCAAATTTGCCATGATTGATCTGTGATTAAGCTATCAAAATTATTTTGGATTGTAGTCTAAATCGTAGTGAATATGAAGTTAAATTGACGGTGTAAGGGATAACCCAATTTACTTGTAATCTTTAAATAACATTATATCTTGAACAATTCTCAATTGAGCAGTATCTAATTGTGTCAAAATGAATTCTAACTCATTCAAAGCTTTCGTTTCATTTTCTGTCAATAATTGGATGAAAGTGTTATTATTCAATTGTTTGAGTGCATCTTCTTTTTCTTTTTTATCCAATAATCGTGCTGCAGAAGTTTCTTGTTCAAATCTGACTTGATGAATATTTGCAAGCGTACGGTAATAGTTATGTAGAATTATTTCATAACATTTGTTGTAATCGATATACCAAAAGAAAAAGGTACGCGAGGGTGCTCGATCTCCCGATCTTGGTACTTCCTGAAAATGAAGGAATTGTAATTATTAAATAAATAAATAAATATATATATATACAGATTGATAATCAAAGATTATTACTTGAACTTGTGCAATTCCACCGTTAAGTAATTCAGTCAGTTTCTGTCGAACATCCGTTACACTCATCAAAGTAAATGTAGTAATCTAAAAAAAAAATTCATTTAAGCTTGACGCCATATTTTAAACATTGATAAACAATCTACTAACCGCTTTTTCATCTAATTTTTGTTTTGCTTGTAATACTTTCACAATTCTTTGCCCCTTTATGCCGTATTTTTCTAATATAATATTTTCAAAAACTTGTTGTTTTAAAGATTCACCCAGTACGCTATATTTAACCAAATACAATCCACCCAGATTTTCATCTTTTTTATATAAAATATTTGCATCATCCTCAATTAAACAATCCAAATATTGCTTAATAAGAGATTCACGGGTAATGGTTTTTCCTTTTTCGGTTCTCATCTGTTGATAAAACATTTCATCTTTGCTTTCTGGTATATTTTTAAGGATTCTATGTAATGAGACAGAACCTATAATATAGTAAAAGCATTAATTAAAAATCCTTCATATTTAAAAATAATGAATTCTATAATATATATATATATATTTACATGATTCAACTTCACTTGCTTTATCACAATCGGCAATATCTAGAATATATCTCATAATCATTCCTGCGGAATGATTAATGCGATCCCTAACGAACTTAACAAAACGCTGATAAAAATATTTAAGGTGTAAATTTATGTAAAACATATCAAACTTCATCAAAAACAAGACTTTAATGTTGTTCATACTTTATTTCTTGCTTTAGCGTTAAATTTTTCATAGTTCACTCGAAAATATTGATTTTCCTAATACAAGAAAATTTATAATCAGTATTAGTATTTGACAAAATTCATGTCCAAATGAATTTGGACATAAGTCCAATATCAACATTGTATGTGATTGGGACTTACATCAAATGTTATCTCCCCTTTATGTTGCTGCAACGTTAAATCATAAAGTTATCTCCATTAAGCCTTCGTTATATTGTACCGGCTAAATAAATTCACGGAAGAGAAATTCTAACCTTTGTTGGTCTATCAAAATTTTCCAAATTTAATTTGCGTTTCTATTAATTTTTGCAAAACAGATGTTAGTTTTAACTAAATCTATTATTAATAACCTGAATCAAACCTGAATAAACAATATTAGACTACTACCGATCCAGTTGCTGTATCATCCATATCAAGATTAGCTGCTAGTTTGGCCTTGGCTTCGGCCATTTGCTTTTTAGTAGGTATGAAATTGGTTACTTTTGCTAATTCTCGTTGTTCTGCTTCGTTAGCTTTATCTCTAGCAGATATTGAATCAGCAAAACTAACGGATGAAATATATTTTTTTTCGATCAATCTGTAAAAGGATTCTTTGATGTCTTTATATCCTAAAAATAATATCAACAATTAATGTCTATATGTCTGTGTTCCAATTAAGAACGTACAAACTTACTGCTTGATTTTTTGTTAAGTTTTAAATTTTCGACTAATCCTGAAAAAGTCGTTTTACCATTAAGTAATATATATTTGACAAGTTCACTCGCATGCTATTAAAATTAATAAATTAATAAAGTTTAACAATATAAAACTTCTTAAATATACAAAATTTACCCTTGATCCGGCCCAATCATTAGCGTTCTTTATATAAATGCCGAAATTTAACCTTGTCAGAATTTCGTCTTTTTCAATAGAATAATAAATTCCAATTCTTTGACTTTCTCTTGTTTCAGCCCAGTATACTAAATTATGTTGAATAAGTATGAAAAGACATTCTCGAGTCTTTGCTAAGGCAAATTTTGATAGTTTGGCGATTACTGGCAAAGTAAGTCGGCCTTTTTGTAAAAGAACTTTTGCGACTTGCTTTATATACAATAGTATTTCTTAGTTGATTTTTAAAACAAAATGCAGAAAATTAAGGCAGGATCCCTACTTCGACGATTGGCCCAAAGTCATCTCGAATAACATAGCAGCATAAACGATTGAGCGTATCAGCCATTATTGCAAGAATGTGTAATTCGATTTAAAAAATTTTATCGCGTTTTTGCTTTTAATACACAGTGTAACAATTTAAATATCACGTGACTGCATGCATATATATAAAAGGCAAATAATAGTAACGCAAAAATTTATTATTATTTTAATGCCGAATTTGTTGCTTTGTCGTGCTGCCCGCTTCAATTCTCTTTATTTCTTCGGTTTCCTCTAAATCTTCCTCCTCTTTAATTTCTATTGCCCCATCCTCCTCATAGTGACGTACATCATATCTTTTTCCTCTTATTCCAAAAATTCCCCAATTTGGATAGACACCAATTCGTACGTCCTCTGTGTCAATGTCTCTTCGCAAACTTTTAAATTCATTTTCACCTGGTTCCAGTACCCAATCGAATTCAAATGTATCATCCTCCTCTATTGCTTGAATTTCGTTTTTCATATCATTTTCATCAAACCCGGTAATAAAAATAGCGCATTTAGTTTTCAATAACTGTTTAATCGTTTTCTCCCATAATTCTTTTCCGTTATTTCGACCTATTCCAGGATGAAAAAGAAAGAACACGTCACAGTATGGATCAAATGGATTTACAGCATCATGATAATCATGGTATAAAGAATTTTTCCATGTAAAAGAAAGGTAATGATTATAATGTGTTGTATGTGGCTCATTTCCACGTGGAAGTGATTCTGGACCAACAAAATGAAAATGCAATGTTATGGTCGGGAATAAGTATGAAAGTTGTGTATATAGATGTAATGGTAATTGTGCTTCGGCACGGGCCCCAACGATAAAGATTCGGACCGTTTCTGCGGGACGAAGTGTTTTTATGTCAACAATGGCTTGTTTTGGATGCAGGGTCGTTCTTAATGCTTGAAATATGAAAATAGGTCACGTGTTAGTAATAAATAAAAAAAGATCAAAAAAAGTCTGGCAAATCTACCCAGTAACGACTTCAACCCTTCGTTTGTCAATCGATTTCTGAGTGTATATGGACCATTATTGTGCAAAACGGATCCAATGGTTATTGGGTATGTCAACAATTTAGATATGTGTCTCAACGAGCGATCATGATCTATACTTGGAAATCCTCTTGTGTACAAATATGTGTCCCAATTTAACAAATTAACTTCTTCATCAAGTGGTTGTGAACCTATAAGCAGTGATAACTGTTATAAAGTATTTTAAAGAAAGTTAAAATGACTTTTAGATAAACTTACTCGGAAACTCCAATTCTTTCATTTTTCTACCACTCATTAAATCATGCATATCTTCATTGAATTCTCTTAACATTTTACATGTATGCAATTTATGTTCAATTAAGTTATGCTTATAATGTTCTTCTGAACAATGAGTAGGAATTCCACAATCTGGACACTCATAAGCTGGTCTCTTTTGATTCTCTTTAGCTAGTCCTTCGCAAGCCGGACATTTACCGAATTTTCTGATTAATTCGCCTCGTTCTCGAAGACTCTTTATTGGAGATTTTGATATTGGATGAAATAAATTATCATTTTGAAGTGCAAGTTGAAAATCTGTCTTATCTTTTTTATTATCTATTTTAAAAATGGAATTTAAAGAAACAAATGAACGATTAAACGAACGATATTGTAATGGTTTTATTGTTTGAAACAAATTCAGCAAATGACTATCATTATAATTCACATCTCTTGAATAGGTAATAGATGATAATTTTAAACGCGTTACATATGAATTATAAAATCGAAACTTTGGAGGATTTTTAATACAAAACATCGAGATTATCGTAAAAAAAAAACCCTAAGATTATTTATATATACACGTGCGTGTTAGAATCTATCTGTCACACATTACTGCAAAAGATCGACCCAAATTCCGGAATTGATCAATTTTAGATTCGGATTCTATCCGAAGAAACCATTTTGAATCTATAATTCACCGAACTTCGAATCCAAATTCCGACAAGCTTAATTCACTGACACTTATACATATAATTTAATCATATAATAAAAAATTTCAGTAGAAATCGTATTTTTACGTAAATGATTTGGGTGGTTATGCTTGAGGGGTTCAACTTATAAGCTTTTCGGTGAATTAAATGTCAATGAACTTAAAGATTGTCGGTGAAGTGTTGTGTTTACGAAATGAGTTGTTGGTGAAATGATACGGGTCCATGTTAAATACTAGTAATTATCTATTAGATTCCTTATGATGAATTTAGTCAAATTACAGAAATAGGTCGAGGTGAATTTTCAATAGTTAAAATAGTCAAATGGTATCTTCATTCAGTAACGCTTAAAATGGTTTATGATCGAAATGAATTATTAAAGAGGTAGTTATAATTATTGTAAGCGTATTAACGTTAAGGTAAACGAATTAATAATTTTTGTTTTATAACGTTAAAGGTATATTGTAATGCTGGCACTAAGAATCCTTTTTACAATGCTTTGGAATATCAAGTGATGATTCTTCTACTAAAGAATATAGCAACATGCGATGCTGGGTTCTTTACGTCAAAATCTTTGATATTTTACTAGATGCATTGCTTACGATCTTGAAACTATACATTCACAAGGATTTATACATCATTATTATTAAAAACAACACTATTTACCAAAATAGGAATACTTATATTTACCAGAATGTCTCCCACAGTCTCCCAAACATTTAGTATTCCTGCTCGATTGATTGTTATCTTTTTCAATAAGCAAGACCACTAATCCAATATTAAATTCTCGGAGATTAATAGTGATCGAATTTATGGTCCAGGCAGCTATAATGGCTTTTTATTATTTCTTTAATCCTCTCATTCAACAATTCCTCACTGACTGTGAAGAATGCTTCTTTGACTATGGCAAAGGAGGACATATTTTTCGTTTAAAACAGAATCTCAACAGGCTTGATAATTTGCAACAAAAAACTCTCACTCTTTTTGTCTTTATCCCCAGACGCTGAATATTATCTTCTTATCCGGAAAAAGAGAAATCATTAACTTGGCTTAACAGTTTGATAGGGTTAGTTAATTTGATTAGTACTTATATCTCAAATTGATTTCTGATGCGGATTACGCCCTTATCTGGTCGTCCCCGACCCTGTGGTTATGCCGGAGACTGCATTCCGATGTATAGATCTTGTTCTTTAACGGAAAGGGTAACGGTAACTACCATATAGGATAACTTTCTTCTGATTGGTCAATCGCTTTCAAAGAATGTAACATTTCACAAGCAAAAAATAAAAATTAAACCCGTCTCTATCTTCGAAGAAGCGCCATATGCAAAATAATCCCAAATAATCCCGCACCTAGAGGTACCTTACTTAGAAGGTGAAATTTCTACGTATACTGCAAC